TAAAAAAAAAAAAAACTGGAAAAGACTGGAAGGGAATGCTAATAGTTGACTATCTCTGAAGAGCAAAACTTGAAGGGATACTTTTTCAATTTTTTTTAATGTTTATTTTTGAATGAGAGAGAAAGAGCGCATGTGAGAGAGTGGGGGTGGGGCAGAGAGAGAGGGAGACACAGAATCTGACACAGGCTCCAGGCTCTGAGCTGTCAGCACGGAGCCGGACGTGGGGCTCGAACTCACAAACAGTGAGATCATGACCTGAGCTGAAGTCGGATGCTCAACCGACTGAGCCACCCAGGCTCCCCAAAGGGATACTTTTTCCTACTCTCCTGTATTTCTCTAGATCTCCTATAAAATGAACAAGTAGTTTATTCATGGTTTTAAAACAAAACAAAAAACTTGTTTAATAAAGCAATGCTGCCAAATACCTTGAATGCCATTTCCTTTTTTTCACTCTCAGAAAGCAGGGAAAAACGGCCCTGAACACACATTCCAGAGCATTGGTCCCGAGGGGGGCTGGGTACGTGTCGGAGCCCTGGGCGGTCTGAGGGGCCCTCTAGGGCACAGCTGCCCAGAGCCACATGCTCACCTGTTCTCAAGATGCTCTGGGCCTTCACGTTGCCAAGTTTTGCGGCTTGGATGAGATGGACTGCACTCACAGCCTCGTCTTTTGGCACTGACATCCCTTCCACCAAGAGCAGGTCTTCTGTTAGAGAAGAGGCAAGAGGCAGCAGTCATCACTGAGCTGTGGCAGCCCTGCAGCAGGGCCAACCTTTTAAGTTTGCCTGCGGGCAGCAAGCCCCCAAGTGGGAAGACATGGTTTCTTTTCACATTTGCAAAGCTTTTTACCATGCACAAATGTCCACATACATTTTCCAGAGGCCGCTGTCCTCTTGCTGTCTTGGTTACCTATCATCCAGAACTTCCCCACCTGGAAAATCCTCAACTCCAACCACAGCCTCCTAGCCGGCTCTCTAGTTTCTTTACTTCTCACCTCCACGTGAAACTGAGTCCTTAACGTGTTTTTTTCCCCAAATTATCAGACTCCTCTGTATTTATCTCCTTCCTTTATCCAGATGCAGGTCACATTACTGTGAGTGCCCCACGTTCCACGGCAGGGCCTGAAGAACTGACGCTGACAGGGGTTCTCAGTTGCTGGCGCTCGGCCACTACTAGCTGCACAACCCTGTCCACGTCACGCCACCTGCAGACCCTTCTTTTCTCTATAAGACGGGTAACACCATGTACCCTGGCAGGATTATGTGAGGAACTGAATGAGGTTAACAGATATCAAATACTTAGTTAAGTGCTGGCCAGAGTCAATGCTCACTAAACATGTCTATTATCTATAGTCCTGGTCTTTTCTGCCCCTCACCCTGCCCGTCATCAACCCAGGTCAATCTGCCTCCTCGTCTGCTGTCATACTTGTGTGCTGATGAGAGAAAATCCCAGCCATGCAGGCTGCCGCCTAGACCCCATCCAAGGATCTTCTCACAGCTGCCCCTGCCAGCGCTCTCCCGTTCCCCCCCGTGGCTCTTCTCAGTTTCCACCACCTCACACCTTATACCCCACCTCCTACCACAGGATTTCCATCCTGCTGGCCTCTCTGCTAAAGGACACCAACAGGCAGCAGTCCCCTCACTTTTCTGCCCCCACCTATAAACATATCTGTTTGCACACCTTCACTCATCCTTCCCCTCTCTTGGGCCCTCTGTCGAGGCCTTGCAGCTCATCTCCTACCCCCTCGCCAGGAGCTTTATAGTACGGACTCAACTGCCCTTTCCCTCCCGCATTCTCAACCCTTGCTTCCATTCCTACTGTCTGCGTTCCACTGGCAGGTGGTCACAATTTCCATGTCCTCAAAGCACTTCTTCCCTCTCAGCGTAGTCAAGTTTCTGCTCCTGTGATTTGAATGTGCTCTTTCTTTTTTTTTTTTTTTA